TTTAGACCCAGTGAAACCAATTGGTGGCATTATGGAGAAGGTATTTTTGAGCAAAAGGAACCCTGGTGTTTACTCCCTCCCCTCTGATAAGAACAGGGTTGGGCCCCTTGACTATCTGTACCTGCAAGATTCTGACCTGGGTGGTAGATGGAAGCAGCATTCTTCTTTCTGACCCCCGGAGCCCATTAAAAACTGTTTCTGACTTTTAGCCATGTAGTTGACAGTTGTCACTGAATGAAGATCTCTGATGTCACTAGACATTGAGTATGGCCTTGGGGTGAGGGTTGGAGGTGGCATAGGTTCCCTCACACCCTAAACCTAAGAAATGTTGACACGGTGCTGTGAGAGGCATACATTCTTATTTGTGTTTTTGACATTGATCATGTTAGACTCTCTAAATGAAGCAAAGGGTAATGCGTGTAGCAACACCCTCTCTGATAATTGACCCAACAGCTTTGCACAGATTTTTAAAAAGGCAAATTTTTAGGGCCGGCCCGGTGGCGCACTGGATAGTGCGCCGCTTGGGAAGCGCGGCAGCGCTCCCGCCCAAGGGTTCGGATCCCACATACAGACCGGTTCCTGCTCACTGGCTGAGCGAGGCGCGGGAGCAATGCCCAGGGTTGCGATCCCGTTGCCGGTCCCCGGTCCGGTACGGGGGCAACACTGAGGGTTGCGATCCATTGCCAGACACGGAAAAAGACAAAAGACAAAAAAAAAAAAAAGGCAAATTTTTAAACATAACCAGCTGATTAAGAGTTGAATGGTAATTTATTTTCGTAGCAACCCAAATTGTCCCCAAACTTCATTGTAAACCATCTTAGAATATATGTTCCCTTAACGGTGGCATTCTAACTGGTAGCCAGCTGGTGCAAGTCTATTTTTTCTCCAATAATAAAAACTAAGTATGATGGAATACTAAACTATATGCCAATCCTTTTACATGGGTTATTTCATTTAATCTTCACAGCCACCTTACAAGTTGTGGTTTATCAGTATCCCAGTCTTACAGATGGGAAAACTGAGCCACAGGGAGCTTAAACAACTTGCCCAGGGTTTGGATGGAGGCAGGCAGTTTGGCTGTGGAGTCTGGAATGCTAGCGGTCTAGAAAACGTACTTTTCTAAAACTGGTAATTAAAATAGGAAAACAGTAAGACTGAAGAAGGAAGAGTTGCTTCTCTGGACTGCCTGGGCTTGATGACATGTGACTGCTCCCCACTCCTAGGCCCCTTCTTCTGTCTTCTGTCGGATGTTCTTGTGTCTTCTGTTGGATGTCGCCCACTGGCCTGCCACAGGTCAGGCCTCCTGGGTCCTCCTGCTCCTACCGCTGGAAAAGAGGTTTAGAATTAAGTGGGGTAAACCTCGCCTGCGGTGGCATTCCCTTAATGACAGCCTTTCTACAGTTAAGCGCTTTCCCTGTGAGTGTGCCTGAAGGGTGGGAGGGAAGCCAGGAGTGTTTCAACTTCATTTTCTTCGTCTTCCTCCTCCTCCATCGCCCCCCTCCCCATCCTAGGTACAAGGTCATGAATTCAGAGCTGTGGGGAGAGAGAAAGCAGAGCAGCGTGGTGACAGCCTTGTGTGAGTGTGGCAGTGAAGCCCTTCGGAAGGCCAGGAGGGTGAGGGACTGATCTGTGAGTGTCCAGGCACCGGTGCGGACACTTACTGCCTGTCCCCAGTGAGCCAGGCACTGTGCCAGGCTCTCTTATGGAGCTTCTCGCATAATGAGTATTGTTGTCACAATAGCTAATGAAATTGTTCTTTACTCTTACTGTCACTCAGTGAAGTAGATGTTATTAGCTGCCTTAAGTCCTGGAACAAGGCCGGGTGTAAACAATTAAGGCAGTCATTCCTACTTAATGGATGAATTTGAAGGCTCAGGGAGGGAACCTTAGAAGAGGATCTGGACTGGGGAATGGTGTCCCAACCAGACCCACCTTGGCCCCAGGTGCAAGTGCATGCTTGTTTGCTGAATTTATGCCTCACCGTTTGCCCAGAGCATAACTCGAGTGAAAGAGCGAAGAGGTGTAAGCAGTGTTTCTAAAGCTTTTATAAAGTCTTTATTGTTTACAGCCTCAGGTTTAGGGTCAGACTTGGGTTGGTATTCAGATCCTTCCACCTAGCGGCTTGTAACCTCAGCCTGCTTATATAAACTCCACTTGCCTTCATTTATGAGGAGGGTATAATACTATCCAATTGGTAGGGTTGTTGGGAGGGATAATGCCTGGCACATGTTAAATGCTTGAGAAATGTTAGTTATTACTCTTATCCCCACCTGTGCCCTTTCCTCCTCCCCACCTCTTGTACACCTGTGGAAGGCCCTCCTTGCTACCCTTTACCATCCACCCCCATTGAGACCCACTAGGTTCAACTACGTTATGGAAGCTTTGTCAGGAAGTTCATTGATTCTGTCTGTGTTTGGAGTTTGGTGGTTGGTTGGGGGCCTTTGGGCTCTGGGAGACTCATTTGCTGAACGGATTCTCCCAAGGCTGTGTGTGTAGCTTCCCCATCGACACCTATCTGGGGCTGGAGCTGCTCTATCAATTCTTTATTAAGAACCGTTATTTTTTATTTATGATGCTTGCAGGTTCATTAAAAATGGCAGTCCCTGTTGGGGATACCAGCAAGGCTTTTAGCCAGTTTTTATCAGGTTGTTAGAGTAGATATGAATATTTTAATAGGGAGAAAGAGCAAAGCCTTCAACAAACTTAATTTGTTCTAGAATCTAAGTGACAGGCTTAACAGGGGTGCCAAGTAATTCAGTATAATCAGCCCAGATAGTGGAATAAGGAACACAATTAAATGGACCAGGGAGCTTTTCCAGAGGGGCCACAAGGGGATTTATCCCCCCTGAGCAGTTGTAAATCACTGTATCCCAGGATCCTTTTAGTCCATGTAAGATCTAGCATAGCCACAGGCAGCTTCTAGGCCCAGTTAACTTCCCAGGAAGCCGGAGAAGTGTTTTTGCAGATTCCATTTTAACATTTATAGAATTCTTTTCCCAAGATGCTGATCTTACTAAATTATGTACAAAATGATGGATAAGCCTGGTCACTGCTGTCCATCAAAAGCATATTTGAGGCCTCGGTCTTAATTGCAATCATAGAGACCATGGTGGGTTTCCTGTGTAGTTTAAAAAGATAGCCACTTGGGGGAGCTTTATGATTGGATTTTAAAATCCATATCAGACTTTACATACTTTGTGAGATCCAGATGAGATCTTCCCCCCCACCCCCACTACAGTGACAAGCTACTGAAGCAAGCAATGGTTGCAGAAATACAATGATAAATCAGTGTGAGTGGTTTTACTTTATTGTAAATTCCTCCCTCTGGATTTTAAAGTTATTCTTGATTTTTAGAAGCTTCTTCTCTTCAAACTAAAACAGTTAAAAGATAAAATAAAGAGTAGTGGTACTTTCTGCTTTTCTTGGATGAATGTTCTGCATATATATAAAGACATCAGTGCATACTTAAATAAATGCGTGTCCCAGTTAATTTTAAATAGCCAAAGCACCAGAACAATCTCCTTTGAAGTTTTATGAACGTGGTCAATGGCAGGGAAGATAAAATCATAAAACCAAATGTCTGAACAGGGAATGCTGGTTTCCAGTGTATCCACCACATGATTTTCCATCACCCTCTCTCTCTCTCTCTCTCTCGAATAAGTGGGGCCTGGAGAGGTCTAATGAAGGACAGTTAATTTCTGCCCGGGCATAAGTCCAGGTTCCAGATGGTCTTTGGGGTCTACCCAGATTTGGACAGTTTTGAAATAATGGAAAACTAGTTAGGGTTCCTAATTAGGACATTTGCTAAAGAAGGTTGTCACAATATGGATGCACTATTAACCCATTTTACTATGGAATAAAATGAAACTAATTATAAACCCACATACACAAGTGTGTCTCTATGTGTCCACCTGCTCACACAGTGGGAGCTGGATACTGTTTCTCGGAGGGGGATGGCTTGGTTATTGTCTAAATCTCAGTCTTACTCTGTTCTCTTCTTTTCTCCTTTGTCCTCTTCTTTTGAGTTGCTGGGGCATTGCAGATTCTCCCCCCATTTACTTAGTGTCCAGTTATTAGATTAATATGGCTCTCCTGTCTTGACAATGCCTACTGTTCTCTTTCCAGAAGAGGAAAGGAAGAGTTCTGGAGTGTCGCTTTTCAGCTTTTCGTCGCGCCGGTGAAGAGCATCCCCGTGCCTGAGCAGCTGCTTGTTCTTTCCACATTTGCCCCGTTCAGTGCCGTTCCCTCTCACCCCCAGCAGACGCAGTCTTGCGTCACTCTGTCTCTCTCTCTTATTGGACAGTCTGACCTGTCTCCATATGAGCATCACGTTCTCTGTGGTCATCTGCCCTATGATGACAAGTCTCAGGTACCTGCTCCAGTGAAGACCAACTCCCTGCCCCAGCCAGTGTTCACCATGTCCACTGGTCACACTGATATGGCTTACACTGGTTACTCAGCGGAGGAGAAATATCACTTCCTCAGGAACCCTGTTGCTCCTGTCAGGAAGACTTTTCTACAGGGGGAAGAAAAATGCCCCCTATACCTGCCTTCATAGTGTTTTCTGGCCTTTTTGCTTTAATGTAGTTGTTTCCACAAACTTTTTCTTTTTAACCATGGACTTTTTTTAGAGCTAAATCATGAAGAAGCCCAGGCCAGTCTGCACCTGGCTTCAAAGGATCCTGTGGCAGATCATTTTCCAAGACAGCTGCAGCAGTTCTACTCAGACCCCTTTGTGATGGGACTTTGCTGCCTCTCCCATTAGAGGTGGAGTCTGTTTTCCCTCCCCTTGAGTCTGGTGGCCCTGTGACTTGCTTTGACCAACAGGATGTTATGCAAGTCAACAGGCGTTGCAGCTTCCACTTCAGTCCTCTTGGGTCCTTGTCATAAGAACACCATGTGAAGAAGCTGCTCTAGCTTACTAGAGGATAAGAGGAGACATGGAGGAGGACTGAGGCCACCCAACTAGCATCCGGCACCAAGTGCCAGACAATTACGGGATGAGGCATCTTGGCTTTTCCAGGCCAGCCGACCCTCTAGCCGATGGCAGCAGGATGAGCAAGCCCACTGGAAACCGGCAGAGGAAACTGCGCAGCATAGTGCAGAAACAGGAGAAATGGTCAATTCTTGTTATTTTAGGTCACTAAATTTTGGGGTGTTTTGCTGTGTAGAAATAGATAACTGAAACAGATGCAGTTCTGGAAAACCCTATGTTAATAAGTAGTCTATTTGTGTGCAAGAGTGTGTGTGTGTAATTCAGCTTATTTTAAATTGTGAAGTGAGTGAGAGGGTTTCTGCATGGTAACAATGTAAACATAGGAGAAGGCTTCAGGCTGCCCCATGTTGCTGTCATCTCCTGTCCCCACTCCCCTCCCTGAAATGCCGTAGTACATCATGGTGAGCTCATTGTGTGTTTATGTACCTTGAACGTTTTACAGATGCTTTGTGGAAAGCTTTACATAAAATCAGATTTATGTTCGATAAGTCTTACATCAGTTATGTTAGCTAAGAGAAACCTGCATTTAAGGTCACAGAAAGGCTGATCTGCTCTGATGGCAGCAGAGATACTCCTTTGGGGCACTCCAGTGAACCCCAGGACTGTGGATTGCAAAGCCACTGCTTTAACACCCCAGTGTCTGCTGGAAAACTTACAGTCATTGGGATCAGCCAAACTGACTAGATATATGTAATGTGCATATGTTACTTCCCCCCTGCAAGTGGGTGTTTTTTAAAAGCTCTGTTCATACAATGTTAAGGAGACAGCTCCTAGGGCTACTATTGCACGTTAAACTATACTTGAATGTTAGACTTAGTGTCCACTTTCCAGTACTACTTAAGTAATATTTACCATATTTTCATTCTTTTCTACTGTGGTGGGTTCTGTGCTAAGTACTTGACATACATTGTCTCATTTAGTCTTCTGAAAGACCCCCCACGAAGCAGAAATGATTGGCTTCATTTTACAAATAAAGAAATGGGGACTCAGAGAGGTTAAGGTATTTGTCCATCAGAGTGGTGACATTGCACAACTCCAGGGGACGCCATTTACATTGTTGTCTATGTGAATGGTGCCCCCTGGGTTGTGTGGTTCACATGGTGGCCCTCACTGCCCAGGGTAAAAATCTAGGGAGTGGCAGAGCTGGGATTTCAGATTCCAAAGCCTGAGCACTTTATTTTATATGACTTTAATAATCTTTGACTCCTCTAAGCTACTTTATTTCTTCTGTCTCTGTCTGTATATTTGAGTGTTGATCTATCTAGCTGCCTATCCGTCTGTCCATCCATCCATCCAACCATTCATCCCTCCTTTCCTCCCTCCCTCTACCCACCCACTCACCCACTCATCCATTCAGTAGACTCAATGAAGGTATGGAACATTCTTTTTTTTTTTTTTTTTCCTTTTTGTCTTTTTTCGTGACCGGTAACGGGATCGCAACCCTCAGTGTCACGCCCGTACCGCAACCGGCAACGGGATCGCAACCCTCGGTGTCGTGCCCACACCACGCTCAACCAGTGAGTGGACCGGTCTCTACATGGGATCTGAACCCTGGGTGGGAGCGCCGCCACACTCCCACGCGCCGCATTACCGAGTGCGCCACTGGGCCGGCCCGAAGGTATGGAACATTCTATAAAAGGTCAGAATATCCAGTATATTGAAATATACCTGGAAACATTCTCTACTGCCTGTTCTTATTTTCAGGTTCATTTGAGATAAACATTTTATTTTATTTATTTATTTTTGGTGGCTGGCCAGTATAGGGATCAAATCCTGGACCTTGGTGTTATCAGCACCATGCTGTAACCAACTAAACTATCTGGCCAGTCCTGAGATAAAAATTTTAATTGTGGAATATCTCAAACATTTAGAAAAGAAAGTAATTCTCTAAAAACTCATGTACCAACAACCCCATACTTCACACTGTACTATATTTGCTTGAAATTTTCTTTGTCCGCTTCTGAAGAAAGAGAACAGAATAGTCAAAGCCCTGCCCCTCCCTGTCACTTCTTTCCATAGCCTAAAGATGGCATATAATATCCATGTCACATTCCCATGCATGGTTTTATACTTTTGCCCCATAAATAGTATTGTTTTGAGTTTTTATAGTTTGCCTTTATTAGCAACAGGTTTTTGCAACTTGCTTTTTCCCTTTAACACTATATTTTTTGAGATTTATTCATTTTTGACACATACACATTTACTGATGGACAGTTAAATTGTTTTTACTTCTTTTATTACAAATAATTCTGTAGCAAACATCCTGGAACATGTTTCCCTATTCATATGTGTATGAGCTTCTGTAGGGTAGATATCCAGGAATGGAACTGCACATCTCCAGCTTTCCTGGCCAAAATACTTTCCTTTACACCTACCAGCAGTATATGAGAGTTTCTATTTTCTCACATCCTCAGCTACACTCAGTGTTATATAGCAGGTATCTTATGGCATCTCATTTTTTATTTCTACTTTCCCGAGCATTGTTGCATGGTTTTATAGATATCCAGGTTTCCTCTTTTGTGAAACGCATATTCATAATTAATATCCTTTACCTTTTTTCCTACTGGGTGGTCTTGTCTTTCTTATTGATTCACAGGGTTTTTTGTTTTTGTTTTGTTTTTAAAATCTTTTCTGGAAACAAGTCCTTTGTCAGCTAACTGCAAGTACCTTCTTTGTGTGCTTGCTTTGCTTTTTAACTTGGTCCTGCCTATGTCTATACGTCTTTGACTCAAATTTTGTCCTCAAACATTTTTAAAGAGATAAGTTATTTCATTATAATACCCTTTTACAATATGGTGGGGGGTAGAAACAGGTAAAATTTCCCTACTTTTCTACAGGAGAGATTTTTAGAAAAACATTTATTGAACTTTTACTATGGATTGTGCAGTATGTATCCTAAGCATTTGACATATATTGATTAATCCTTTTAACAACCAGCGAGATAGATGCAGTTATCCCCATTTTAAAGATGAGCAAACTGAGGCCTAGAGAGATTAAGTTATTGCTCCAAATTATGCAGTCATTAAGAGATGGATCTGAAACATAATTGCTGAACATGGTCTGTTCCTATCTTAAGTTTCACATGATGGTGGATCCAGGTAGTTGTAGTGATGCTGGCCAAATGGTGATCAGTGGGTGAGAATGAAAAAAACCCCAGATTTAAGTAGAGCAGTAATAGCTTGAATGTTCTCATGTGCTAAGTTGCACACATATGTGAAGTCTTTGGAAATGGAAAATATGTATTAGTACACGTTGACATGCTTCTTTGGGCTAAGATCTATTGTTTGGTTCCACAATTTCTGGAACTTTAAGTTAAAGTGAAGGAGCATTTAAAATATAGACTTAGGGCCGACCCTGTGGCTCACTTGGGAGAGTGTGGTGCTGGGAGTGCAGCGGTGCTGGGAGCGCAGCGGTGCTGGTAGCGCTGAGGCCACGGGTTCGGATCCTATATAGGGATGGCCGGTGCGCTCACTGGCTGAGCGCAGTGAGGACGACACCAAGCCAAGGGTTGCGATCCCCTTACTGGTCACAAAAAAGAAAAAAAAGAAAAAAAGAAAATATAGACTTAGCTGGTGATAGCAATGCTATTCTATTTAACTAACTAGACCTTAACATTCACATTTAATTTGTCGAGTGTGTAAAACTTAGTATAGTGTGCATAGTAGGCAGCCAGTAAATGTTTGGTTTCCCTTATCCCTCAGTAAGTTTGATATTTTTACCATCTTCCTACCTGCCTTTCTGACCTTTTTATATCAACCTGTGGACTGGAGTGTTAACAAAATGTTATTGCAGAAGAGATTATGAGAAAATTGGTATATCATGCAGATATCCTACAAAATTTCCTTGTAACATAAAAAGTGCAGTTTTACTAGTGCTTGGGCCTTAGTTGTTTAAGTGAATATTAAAGGGCTTGATAAGACCAAAAAAAAAAAAAAAGAGATGGATTTGGGATTAGAACCCAGGGAGTTAGTTCCAGGACTTGTGTAATCACCAAAACGAACTGCTTCTTAGTGCCACACTTCCTACCCTCTGGAGCTCACTGGAAGAGAGATACATGTAAACAGGTCCCGTCCTCCAGTAAGACAAGCCTAGGGCAAGACATATTGGCACAGGGTGTTGGGGAGGACTTCTTGGAAGAAATGGCCTTTGAGCTGAGCGAATGGGAATGAGATGTGTTTGCTAGGAGCTAGACCAAGGGGAATGATGTGAGTGTGAGCATGCGCGTGTGCACATGCACGCTCCATGGAAGGGAGAGGACATACAGGAAGAGGGAACAGCATGTGGAGCAGCCTGGAGGCTGGAGAGAGTGCAGAATGTTCTGGGCTTTGTAAGCAGCTCAGTATATTTGGAAGGTGGAATTTAGGGGTAGGGTGATTAGAAATGAGGCCAGGAGCATTGCGTGGCACTTGGCTGCCATTATTATTTGTTGAATAAATGAATGAATGAAAGAAAGCCTTTAGTGTTACAAATGCAATCATCAAGCAAGCCCTTAATTAACTGGAATGCTCAAGGCATTGTCCCTTATAATTAGCAGGACTTCCCAAACCTCTTAGAATTCAAATTTTATTCCTGAACATATGAGGAAATGTATGTCTTACTTCCCTATATCAATAAGCACAATTTAGTAAGCCCAATTCAGTCTATTGCAAATGAGTCACTTTTAAGTCTCATAAGCAAAAATTAATAATGTTATAGGTTGTTACCTGAGACTAGAGCTGTTGATGCAGCTGGTTTAGAAGATTAAGTTAAATGAACTTATTCCTTCTAAGACACGGGTGGTGTAATGTGGGTTATTTATGCTTAGGATGGATTTGTTTTCAGGTAAGACAGATATATTACAGATTAAAAATTTTTTCATCAATTCACCTCATTAGTTAGCAGCATCTTTTTACTAAAGGAAAGTAAGTGGATCTATGTTTCTTTCAAGGCAAATAGGCTGTATCTTTGTTCATGGGGATAGGACTTTTGGCTCCTTATACTGACCCAGCAGTTGCTAGAGTGTGGTTTTGTTAAGCAAAGCTTAAGGAGAGGAGAAATACAAGTCTGGCAAATGAAGTAGTTACCAGTCCCTTAATTCATACCATGGTGGGTTTTTGACTGTGTTTGGTTGGGGCTTTGTAGTC